TTAAAAACAAGCAAACGTCAACATCTTATCTTTCTCCTGAAGTCTAAAACGAGTTTATTAATCTCATGGCTTCACATGTGCGAAATTATTGTTTCTCAGCAAGTCGTAGAAATAAATACTATGGTATTCTGTTTCATTCCACACCTGATTTAGCCCATCGTGAGCAATTGGCCCAAGTGATTCGGTTTGTTTACATTGACTTTAAGACAAGAAAAACATTTAAACTAATCAATTGTTGTGAAAGGAGTAATAAGAATGGCATCCCTTCAGAAGATGTTGGTGAGGATGGTAAGTTCTGTTAGCATAGGATCATTGTCTGTACTGTACTCCATTTATTCGTTTATTCAATTACATTGTGTCCTGCAAAATCGGGGAGATAACTACCCCTCTTTCCCATAGTAAATGACATTCCTGTTTAATACAAATACAAAAAAATATCCAGTTTCGCTTATATATTCAGAAAGCTGCCTTTCAATGGCATAAATCAATATATTACTGTTTTGAAATAAATCTTACTCTGTACACAAATAACTAACTGTTCAATGTGTTTAGCGAGATCTTCATATAGTAAGCTTACAAGGGTTCCTACAGCATTAGTCCCCACCTCTTATGCTACTTATTCCCAGGTTACATAATTTAGTAATGAAGAAGGAATATTAATATGTATAAACGTAGCTATAAAGATATCAATTATGGCATTCACAGATGGTACCAATTTCTTGACAAGTATCGGATAGAATGTTCTACAATAATGGCAGAATTTGCCCACAAAATTTATGAAGATTGTATGATAGAGATAATAAAACTTAGTGTTATTTTTGATATATAAATGTTCAAGCTGGACACGTTTTGAACAAACTAACAGAATCTTTATTTAAACAACAACAACAACAAAAAAAAAACAACAACTAAGAGTAGCACGTGTACCCACAATGGAGAGTTGTCAATCCTGCTTCCCTATGATTGGTGTTCAGTCTTGTAGAGTCTTTCTTTCGAGATCAGATATTTCAATATTAGACATGCAGATATTCTAGAAAAAGTCAGGTCCTTCGTGTGGGCCAACTAATAGAGAATTAAATTGAGAATGCTTGCTTGGATCCAAAATGTTAACTCACTTCCATTGCCCAGTAGATGGCATCACATCATTACTTAAATTCCCTGGCACATTAGTCGGCTGTCATCTTCAATCAATGCAATAATCAGCTAACCACATTTATATCAGTGCAAGTCGTTAAATACAAAAACAACCCTTCAAGCAGAGGAAACTTCACGTACTAGAGAGAACAAAGGCAGAAGAAACTAAAGGGGTACTCAGTAGAACGCATACCTCTGCCACGCAGCGTTGATCATATTCGGCCCTCAAAAATGAGAAAATGTGTCCGTATCTCCATCTCTCCATCGATATTAACGGACACGGATCATTGTTGGCAGAACAATGAGGAATAATTTTCTAAATATGTCCACTAAGTTAGATCAAAATCCGATAATTTTTGACTGAGTTATAGGGCAAAAGTAGTGTGAAAAATTTGCCTCCATATTAACAGATAGGGATTTTCTTGGATTTTAGTGACCTTGCTGTGACCTTGACCCTTTAAATACTACTCACTTCTAACTTGGGTCATACTCTAAATCCATTCAGCAGTTTTCAAGTTATCCTGATGACAAACACACATACAGGGGTGAAAACATAACCTCAGTCACGTTCGTTGGCGGAGGTAACTAGAACAAACAAACATATATACATCCCCGAACTCGTGCTCCTGGCATGACAGTACAAAAACTAAATGCTTGATAACTTAAAAGAATTTGATTATTACTATAGAAGGTAAAAAATGACATGATATTACTGCACATCACTCTCCTCCATCCTCTCTCCCAAGCTTGTCCTCAGGCCGGCAAATTACTTTAACATAGAATTATTATGCTTACACATACACACACACACACACACATACATGTGTATATATATATATATTACAATAATAAATTTTCAAGTTCCAACACAGAATACATATCTTGAAGCATAAAAAATAACCTTTAACCATGATTTACTGGATATCACTAAGCATAAAAATCCTTTAATGATGAAATGCAGTAAAATACTTTTTAACAATGACAATAAATATAATATATATACCCTGTTACAATGATTTAAGGATACATGGAGAAAATGCACATACTAATACAGAAAGTAAGATTAAGAAAAATATGGAAGGAAGCAAACATTAATCATGAATTTACATAACTTCCGTACAGGGGACAGGTACTCCAGCTAGTATCAAATAAAAACACTGAGAATACGTAATTAATTACATTAATGACAACATGGAGGAGTTGGTGTTATTATTGTTACGTATCTGCTGGTTTGATAATTTCCCGTAAAAATTATTTCCGAGAAACTTCAGCGATACAAGTCCTTTCTTAATTAAAACTAGTTTATTCTCTCTCGTTACAAACTTTGTAATACACTTAATTTCCACAGTCACTTTAACTTAAACACACGCTGTAATTCACAACGATTCACGCACTTACGGTCACTACCGCTCACTTGACTCAATTATCTGTCTCTATCTCTCTATCTGCAATTATTATCTATCCGCTTTATTTGCCGGACTTATATACAAAAATAGAAGGCGTCTGGTAAACACCAGAGTTGCCAGGAACAGTCATGACCCTTCTAGAAACTCATGACGTGTTACCAGAGTCACGTGACTTCTGCTGTCGTAACGTTATTGATTGTTGGGTGATTATTAAAAATGAAGAGGCTTTCTTTAACAAAGAGTTCGTATTCTGTGGTTCCAGATTCGAAAATTTTAATGACTAGGGCGAATGATGAACAAATACTCCGAATAAAGAAGAGCTAGCTGATATTTAAACTGAGGCCCTAAATCAATGTTCTTAGTTTTGCTTGCACTTTAGTTTCTGTTAACAATATTATTTATTAAACATGTGTATATTGCACGTTTTATCGTACATTCCATTATATTGTTACAGTTTAAATCTATTCTTTCTAAACTTCCGATTGAATACGAAAATTAGGTCAATGCTGTTGTTGTTTTTTGTAGTTCGAATATTACAAACTAATTTTTTTAGATATTAACGCTGATAATGGCATTTAAGGAAATTCTGAAACGTCCATATTAAAGATGTTTTTAGGTATTATCGTGTTTTTATATTTATTGTAATTCTAAAACTACTGTAGAAGTATTTTAGCGAAGATGTTTTCGGGAAGTATTTTTACATTTTATATATTCCACGTAAATTATACATATTTATATGTAAATAATTATAAGTAAAATATATATTTAATTACTTTCGAATAAAAATATCTTGTGAAATATTTTGCGTATCTTTATTACATTTTTTTTATTTTTTAAATTTTAAATATATTCTACAACAGGTAACGCTATGTTAGTAATTGACGTGTTAGTGTTCTTGTTACGTTCTTAACTTCATTTGCGTTTAAAACAATTTGGTTATTAATGGAAAATTGTCTTTGTGTGATGTACAATAGTTCATATGTACTTTAGGTTACTGATTTTGCAGTATCGATATCTGTAATAATAATAATAATAATATGTGATGCTAAAAAGTTAAGATGCTGACAGATAAGTGAGAGATTTCTAATTGTGAATGTGAGCTTTGAAACTGAAACCGAAAGTTACCAAATCCGAATATCATAAAATAATGCTTATGACCTTCGTTTGGGTCGTATGACTGACTTGGATTTTCAGTTTCACAGAACTTTAACTTACTGCAGAGAATTTACCTACGGAGGTTTACCATTACCAATGACATAGATTTATCTCTGCGATGTATTCATTTAACTTTTAAGTGTACTCGTGTTGTCAGGCATCCATTTTTTGAATTTTAACCAACCTAAAATTTTAGTTGTAAATACTAGTACTTAAAATTGTATCTATTATACTAGTCTGTAGTGATGTGCAGGACCATTTACATTGCAGACTCACTATCAGTTTTCGAAGGCCTAAGAGTAATATCTGCAAATCTGAACATAGCTTGGTACTTGAAAGTTGAAGTTGAAATATCGAGAGACCAAGAATCATGCATGATCTAGGCCAGAGACGTCGAAAGTGTTATGACGTGACTGATTCTTTACCTTTCAATTATATTGAAATAATGGCAAATTCTAGATTGAAAGTTCAAAAATGTGGAATTAGTAACTGCTCTGTGCAACATATTTGCAGTTCTTGTTCTTCGACTTGTGAGAATACAATTTTCAGAATAGCTCGAATTCTTTATACCCATATGGCACTACTGTGCTCTGTCAATTTTTTTGTAGTAACAGTCAGAACTGTTGGATTGGTTGTTCTTTATTATGCCTTTTCTATTGGAATAACATTTTATCAAAAATGGTTTATCAAGGTATTTTACCTGTTATTAATTTATTATTGTAAGCCATTGATTCTTTTATTATTCCTATTTGAATATTTTCATAACAGATTTTTATGCAATTATGCCTCATTTTGTTTGATGTATTGCAAATATTTATACATCTTAAATTTTATTTTACATTACAATGAAAGTGCTTTTTCCAGAGCCTGAGGAACTGGGTAAAATTTCATATTGAGGTGTGGTTTGTTATATATTCATTGAAAATGCTTTACCAGTACTTAAAAAGAATAAAAGGTAAGTCTATCCAGTGACTTTAGTAACAAAGAAAAACAAACAAACTGAAAATGAGTATAATACAATGTAGATATTTAAATTTATGGAAGAGATGATGTCTATGTATGCAACCTTATCAATGAAAATAACTTTGTGAACTGTATTTGTTATATCTGAAATAATTTGTTAATGTTATTAGGTAAGTATCAGTTTGAAGGCAAAAGTATTTACTATGCAAAGTTCTGCTATATATGCAGTTTATTGTGTATAAAAATTATCATAGTTTGTTGAAGAAAATGAACAATAAATGCCATGATATCAATTCCTAAAAATTACAGTATTGAGTGAAATTTTTATCTCTTTGTAAATGTATGTGACAATTAAGAAAACCTTAGATAACTGTAATATAGTTTAACAAATAGACTGTGATGTACCTACAGCAAAATCTTAACAAAATCTTGAAAATTATCTTTCAACTTGTTGCTTGAGAATGTATGGAATTGGATGATTGGTAACACAGAACTAAGGCTAGTAAAACTTCATTATGTTTAAGATGTAGGATTGAGTTTCTAAAATGTGATAAATGCCAGGACTGAGTTATGTTTCCAAATTTTAGTAAATGTGAGGTTTTGTATTTAGGTTTTTATAAGCTGGATCACATTTTATATGGATTGAAGCCCACTCAACAGTTTTACTGAAGAAATGTCAAAGTGTTGCTCTGTTGCTAGTAGTAATGAGAATTGGTACCTAAATGGTTCCAGGATAGAAGGGTTATATCTTACAGGGATAGATTAAAATAACTTGTTTTCTCATGAGAAAAGAAGGGGAGAGGTAATCTTATTGAAGTATACTAGATTATCCTGGAAATTGGTAGGATAAAGACGTCTGATTTATTGTTCTATATTCTAAATATGATAAGAGGAAAAAAGTTTAAGCTTTGAAAGAAGACAGGTTCTAATTAAAAGGGGAAAGCATGAAGTTGAGTAAAGTATTCTTCATTTGAGGCATTATAGGAAATGTTGTGAAATGATTCCTTGCAATTTGTGCATCCTTTTGAAGTTGGTAATCATTACATAAGTAAGCTTCAAAAGCTGGAGAATAGGGAACATTGAAACTTCTCTTAATTATTTAGTTGCTTTCTGTAGGCTTACATCCATGCCTTTAAGACAGTTTCACTCTGTGGATTTAATGTCTTGCTTTTTCTTGGGGGGTGATTGTAGAGGTAAAACATTGATGGACCTAATGGTACATTAATTTCTGTAATGTATGTTACACTAAGATTATTACACTCAATCAGGAGCAGACTTGGACATCTGGAAAATTCCTTGGTGGCCAGGGATCCATCAAAAAATATTTGTTTTTTAAACACTAGTTAAAACAGACTTAATTGGGCATCCAGTTTATCATTTAATAGCTTATAGTGCAGTATCAATGTAGCATGTATGAGTGATAAATGGATAATTACCATACCCTTTTAAAACACTTTATGTATCTATTAATGTTTCATATTATAATATGATAATATATGCATTGACTTTACTAATACAGGTAAAAAAATGTTGGATGTATGAGTGATAAGTGGATGATTACCTTACTCTCTTCAAATTCTTTTTTGTTTTTATTAATGTAATTTTATATAATATTATGGTCTTATAGGTATTTACTAATACAGGTAAAAAATGTTGGATTGTAAAGAAGAAAGTTACAGAATTTATTTTTTTTAGTTTGTGGATTGTATGAATAGTAGTGTATATTTTATGCTTTGTAGATTAAGTGCAGCACCCTACTCAATTCTTTCAAGAATCTTTCTTCCCTGAACTCTTTTGGAGGGCCAGCATAAAAATATTTTTCCAAAGTTATATTTAATCTCCAGTCTGCTCCTGTGGTCACTTATAAATTGTGTATTTCCATTGTTATAATTATTACTTGCATACACTGTACAATATTCAAACATATCACAGGTAATTTTTCATGCACATGCCATGCATTCTCACACAGGCAGTGAAATTGTTTGACATTAAATTTCATGCAGTTGGTTGGACCATGAAGTAAATGCATTTCAGTTTCACTTTTAGTTGTTAAGACTAAAATCATTCTAAGAACCAATGATTAAAAGGAAAGGAGAATATGTTATGAAATATTAACCACACTATATCTGCCAAATCCTGTGCTGACGAGGCCTCCCGCCCAACACCAGGGCTGGCTAATATACAAAAGAAATAGTAGTGGGCACTATATATAACAAATTTTCATGAACAACAACCGTTACTGTGTGGGTCAAATTAAGTAATTGAATTGTAATTATTATTGTTTTTACTCAAGTCATTTACAAATTGGGTTTTCCAGATAAAACACAACTTTTTTTTTTACACCAGTTATGTATTTATTGTTATAGTTTTATTTGAATTCATATTATTGTAATTCGCAAGAACTAGCAAACAAACAATCTAGTCTTCCAAGGGTGGATCAAGCAGCCATAGCATCAGAAGGAGAAAATTAAATTATTAATGAATGAAAGTATAAGAGAATATATTTTAACATACCAACCACACTGCATCCACCACATCCAGTGCAAACTAGGCCTCTTGCCTAACACCAGGGCTAATCAGGCTGACTGGAAAATTACAGACATAGCAGTGGTCTAGGCACTATATATATATCATCAACTTCCTTGAACAGTAACTGTTATGTTACAAATGAGAATAATGGTTGAATGAATATATTTAGCAAGTTTTGATTTTTAAGTGATAGTTTAAGGAGATCATCTTGAAATTCAAAGTTCAGCAAATATATAAGCATTGTTTTAGTTTGGAGGCTAATTATTAGTTACTTTTATCATATTGCTAATTAGTTTATATCCTAAACTGTTGATCTTTTAGTTGTAAATGATGAGCTGTAACATATAACTGTTGATAGTTTGTTTAATCAAATTTCTAATGTATTTTTGTGTTTATTGTTATCATTATTAGTGCATGTTATTTGATTCTAGAATTTCTGAAAACCCACTGGTCTTCTTTACTTGACATAGAGAAAGTTTATTTAATTTTCAATAAATAATAGCTATAGACAATATCTTGCCATGGGAAAAGAAATTGTTGTGTTTTTCACACCAATGATTGATCTTTGTTGTCGCCATCAGTCTGGCAACAAAGTATACATACTACCAACCTTTCTCTCAGGCCTGATCAATACAGTATTTGAACAAAAACAACTAGGAGCTGTATTTGAAATCACTGTTTTTACAAACACACTTCTTAAGTGTATGGTAAAAAATATTGTTAATTGATGATTGTTAAGTAAATGTGGAGAAACACATTTGTTATTTTGCACCAAAGTTTCTAATAATATTCATGTATTGTTTGCTTTTTTCGAGTATTTCGGAAGTTGATCCATAAACATGTATGCTTTATTTTCCTTAGAACTTCCATTTTCCTCTGACTGTTGTCATCTGTCATCTGGTCGTAAAATTTATTTTGTCAGCAGTTGTCAGGGCAGTGTGGGAAATTTGGTCAGGCCAACAAAGAGTAATTCTGAAGTGGAATGTTTACATCAAACAATTAGCTATTGCTGGTAAGTCAATATTTTGTACTTAACATATTGTGTTTTTCAAATTCAAGGTAAAATCAGAATGCCACCAATATGTATACGTTGTTTAAGTTGGGAAATTAAAAGCAATGCATATGTAAACATTTATAAGATTTTGTGAAATGGTTTCCTTGTTTTCTGTAATCTTATGTTGTACTGAGACATCACACTCAGCCACAAATATTGTCTAAAAACTTAATTCAAGATCCAATAACAATATAACAGAATTTTATTTAAAAAAATTAAACTAACATTACACACCACATCATTAGTCAAACTATTCCACAAATACTGTTTTACATTTAATTGAGAGATAATTGTATTGAAAACTAAGGCTACAACTAGGCTTTCAGAGCTTAACTCTGTGACCGTAATATTCAAATCTACACAATATATCCAACTTTTTATTGTACTGCTTAAAAACAAGCGTATTAACAATTTATCTTCAAAGGTAATGACCAATTTTTCTACTGTATTGTTTTATGTTTGTAAAACTCAATTTTTGTTTAATACCTTGTTGCTTTAAAACCAAAATTGATTTTGCCTAAAAATTACCAAATTTTAATTTTAACTCTGTTTTTTTTTCAGCATGGGCTCAGTCCCTGGGACTGACCTCGTAACCATTTTGTGCTTGTTATACTTTTGCATGCTATAACTTTTAGATTAGTAAGCTTATGTTAACGTAATATGGCAGATTATCAGTAAATGTTAAAATGTTTTCATACACAAAATATCAAATTTTTTTATTAAAGTTTAAGGTTTGTAAAGCAACGTTTTTCTCGTGCCTTTTTTTCTTTTCACATGTTGCCTATCCAACATGCAAAGTAATTTTCGTTTTAAAATCAAAAATACTTTTATGCATCAGAAAATTTTCAAATTTTCCAGATAGTTAATAAATGTTTCTTAAGAAAAAACTTTATATTTTATCTGTTATTTTCAGTAACGAATCTCTGTGCGGGTTTGGTAGATTTGATTGATTTCATAACCACCATAAAAATTAGGAAATAGATATAAATTATGCCTCTTTCATTCTAGAATGACAAGAAATTATAACAAGAAAACATAAATGTTTAGACTAAATTGCATAAATCTCATAACATTATACATTTATATATATTTAATATTTTTATAATATTGACCTTTCAGCTGTGCCTGGCTAACAATACAGAAGTTACAATGATGTGGCACACGTGCTCTCATGTTACCATATCCAGTAATATAAAACTGACCTTTAGTTTTTACAAAGTGACCTGTCTTGGCTGTGTTTTAGTAGACTAGTATTTTGTAAAATAGTGACATTTCAATTATTATACATTATATGTGTACATAGATTATTGCTATTTGGAAACAAGTTCTTAAACTTATTTTTCTTAAAACATACAACAGTAAATAAAGAAGTAAAGCAAACAATTATATTTTCTAGTTACGACCTTTGTACTCAATTGCTGCTTGATGTAGGTTGCTAAGCCTTTTAAAATTTCACACTTGGAGGATATGAAACGAAATAC